TTATACAGTAACAGCCAACTAACACAGGCCTCTCCTAAAGGGAGTCATGCCAGGCTATGTCTGTGTAGGTGGTACATTTGGTTTCAACTCTACAGATCATTGGATTTTTCCCAGATCAATTCAGTGCCTCCTCACAGCGTAGCAGGAGCTCATTCAAGACAAGCCTGAACCACTGGACGGCAAGACAACTTGGTGCCCCATTAAATGCTACAGCAGTGTGTGGGTCTGCGAGTGTAGATGGCTCTCTAAAGCCTCTAAATAATGACAAAACATAGTCCTTTATTCTATATCCACACCCCACGGTAGTTTTATAAAATTAGGCCAAATGAGGTAAGCTCAGGTGTCCGACTCCAGGTCACAGTCTTGGGCTAGTTTTTCCTCCTTATGAAATGTGTTTGATTTGTTTTTTAATGAGGTTTTCAGTGGATTGGATACTTTTTAATTTCCCCCTTCACTCCCAATAGCCTTTCCTACAAAGAAGTTCCCTCCTTGGCTGTCCTTACTGCACAGTGGCCACTTTCTCTAGACCAAGAAGCTAAATGCCAAGCCCCCCTCTCTCTCTCACCATCTCCTCTCTCCTAAGCTTGCTCTCATATGATGGGCAGCCAGCCTAGTGTCAAGTGTTAAGGCTTCTCTCGAGGTCAGTGAGCTGGAGTTAGACCTTAGAAACACATAGCCAAAATTGTTCCTACCACCAGGACACAGAACATGGGTTTTGATAAACTGGCACCAAGAAAGCAAGGCCAATTTGATAGACAGTTCACGGATGGATGGGCAGTTTGCTGTAGAGATTTTAGGTGACACTGGGAAGGTTCTCCCAGCTGGAGATTATTAGCAGCAAAATAAGAACCCCATCAGCAGACCCCGTGTGACCCAGAGAGCTCTTCCTCCCAGAGGTGCTTTTGCACTGTCTGGACCCTCCTCCCTGGAGAGCACCCGGGGGTGCTTTACCAGATGCTCAGGGCTGCCCATGCAGCCTCTCCTCTAGCTGGTCACTGGGAACAGAAGGCACTGGGAACAGGCTGGCCAGGGAAGCATGCTAAGAGGAATGTCCAAAGCAAAGCTGCGCTGCTGCTGCACAAGCACCGGCTCACTCTGGCATCACTGCAGGGAGGCCCTGCCAGGCTCCTCCGACCGGGAAACATCCCAAATGCCCAGCCCAATCTGCCACATCAAGGCTGGAGGTCGCTGTAATTTACCATTCCACCTTCTCCCTCTGACAAGGGGAATGGATGGCTGGTATTAATCCTCCCAGGCACCCATGGTGGGTTTGGGAAAGAGCCCTCTGCATGCTTCTCACCAGCTGAGCATGCTAAGGAGGAACTGAAAAGGCCTTAAGAGCCACTGGGCCTAGGAAAGTTCCCAGTCAATCCATCACCTGCCTCCTCCACAGACGGTCTGCCAGGCCATCCCACAGGCCCAGGGCCGGCGAGAGGGCTGTGAGGCAGAGTGAAGCCAGAGCTCTCCGTGAGCGAGCCTGTGTGCCCGAGTGTGCTGGGTCTGTGTGCGCGCCCGCCTAAGCACAGAGTCAGGACTGGTAGTAGAGGAGCCGGTGAGAGGGCGTGGGAGACTGGGGACTTATTTATAAAAGCTCTTCTGCCCTAAAGCAAGTCAAACTCCCGCTGAGGGGCTGCTCTTTCTTCCTCCCTTTTGAGTCCTGTGTGCTGAGCTGACCTCTCCCCGGCAGAGGTCAGCGCTCTGCTCACCCTGTGTGCACTCGGCCTCTGGGGCTCGGGAGCCTGAAGAGGAGAGGATTCTTCAGCTCTAATTTCTGAGAGAAAAGCTGTAGTAAATCTCGTGAAGGAGCTGTTTTTTTTTTTTTTTTTTTAAAGAAATACATATACGTTATGATCTTTGGGGAACTGGAGAAAACAAAAAGCAAACACAAGACTGCACATCACCAGTCCCCTCCCACAGCCTACTTCACCTCCTAAAATAAATCAGGCTGGGGAATGAATGAGGTTTTCAGAAATGCAACTGAACTTAAAATACAGGGCCAGCATCTCATCCTAGGTAATCCTTTGGAGGATGAGGAATTCTCCTGGTTTTCCCACAGGGTTAGTTCACATGTGCTTTCTGAGCCAACTATTTTAAAAGCATCCATTCTTCCACTGCCCTGCCAGACGCAAACTTGGGATTCACATGCACTTTTTGAGAGTTTATTAATGGTATTAATGATCATGGATCAAAGGGAAACCCCAGACAATTATTTAGGTGCTTTCAAAACTCATCTCCTGTGGGAGGGAAACAACTTCTCAGCGCTGTGGATGGAGCTGTGGGCTGATGTGTGGGCCTAAAGCAGCGTTACTAACTGGAGGGGCCTTGAGGACAAAACATAACACATCTCTGTGTGTTTAACATGTATCTCTATTGAGACGGTGTCACCAAAGCCTTTCCGATTCGTAAAGCAGGTACACTTCTGATTTGCAGAAAGCCCCTCTTCTGAAGGATACTCAGCTCTTAGCAGACCCTGCCTCTTCTAATACCCAGTATTTACACACACCCTACATTTTTAAGCAACTATTTATTTATGGCTTTGGTAAGAATAATTATTTGAGGATCTTTTAAAACTGCCAATAGCCAGGCCATTATCTCCAGGATTCTGATTTAAGTAGAAACTACTCTGGTAATTCCAATGTATGGCGGGTGTCAAGAACCTGTATTTCAGCAGATGGCGAAATTAAGCCTCGGGAGTTATGTTTACCTCAGGACTCCACAGAGCCAAGTGCAGTACTTAAAATATGAGATAATTTTGTTTGACAAATGAAGAAACTGAGGCCCCGGATGTTAAATGACTTGTCCCAAAACACACAAGCCAATCAGTGGCAGAGCAGTTGGACCCAGAGTTTGAAGCGTGTGACACCATGCCATCCTTCAGTCGCCGATCCCAGGCCCAGGCCCAGGGCAGTGCATCTTTTCTGTGGGTTAGGCCACACCACACGCCGCCACAGGGCAAAACCCAAGGAAATGGGCTCTGCATCATCAATTGCCGTGGTTCTCACCATTTCATGCAGTTATTCAAATGGATGATTCCAACCTGATATTGAAATGCTTCTGAAAAGCTATGTACAGGACCCAAGGGAAAATGTATTTACAAGCAACCAGAGAGGCCTGGGATCCATCATAAAAGGCAGTTTGCAGTCGGCCCAGCACTTCCCTCAGTGCTGATTAAGGACTGGATCCTCTTAGAAAATGGAAATAAATCCACTTGGGAAATGTCGAGATTCTCTGGAAAGGAATCAAGGTCGCATTCTTTAACCCCTCACAAGGGGGGTCTATCTTAGCTCAACTGGGAGCATAAGTGGGAAATATCTGAATTGTAAAGACCACCCCCAAGTCGTACAGGCCAATTTAATCACGACATCCCACACAGGGTTTTTCAAACCTAAATCTTTAGGACCAATGGTTCAAACGCTGCGCTCCTTTGATCATTTGACCCAGTGTTCAGAACCTCAGAAGTGCTTCAAGGAGGGAAGAAATGTCTCTAACAAACAGAATATATAACTTCAAGCAGCACGTTCAGAAAGAGGTATTTTAGATGTATAGTCCTTGGGGTTAATTCACTTTTTTTGAAGGAAAGTGATACACACAAATTTAATTTTTTAAAACAATTTTCCTTTTCATTCATAAAGCAGGTTCATTTCCACTAATACTACTTTCATCTTCTAGGCATGTACAACTATTTAAATCATTTAAACAAATGAGAGGACGAGTTCTCTTGGTGCTTACTGCAGTGTTTAGCTTTCTAACTTGACTGAAGAAAGTTATTTTGGGGATCCGACAAATCCATACCTACAGTCTCCTGATCCGATGCTTTGGAGTCAAGTGTATGGTTTTATTGATATTTGCTTAATTAAAGAATCAAGATTTTTGATAAGTAACTGTAATGGCAATTATAGGGCAGCACATGGTAATATTATGCTGCATGATGAAACTTATTTAAATGTTATTAAATTCAAGCCCTGTACTGAGTAGTTCTCGACAATTAAAGGCACTAATTTCACCCACTCAAGTCCCCTCTGTTAAGCTACATGCAGACATATATTTGTTCCTTGTCTTGTTAAATAAATACAGAACCTAAATTAGAGGGAGTTCAGCAGATTTCTGAGAATTTTAATTATATCATTAAATTGTAATACCAATAATATATATGGTTAGACTTCTGTTCTGAGTAGTGAACTGAATTAATGTCATGTTACAATGCTTAACTTATTCTGTACTAAGGAAGGTTTTAAACCATTGAACAGAAATCAGCTTAATTTTGATTTTTTACTTGCTCCAACGTGTTTCAATTCATTTGTTGCTTCAATAACAAGGAATGAATTCTCTCATCTCAACAGACTGAGCATGGACATTTCCTCATAAGATGAAAAAGAAATTGAAATGACTTCCATGTTCAAGTCACGGCATGCTGAACAGAGAAGTTTTGGTTCTTAGGAAAGCCATTTATTACCTCAAAAGGAGGGCGAGTCACTAGAACTTTGTGGAAATATTAGTGGGGCCTGCCAAGAAGGAACACAAGGAAACAGAGAATGGCGACACTGATCTCAGGCCATTCTCCTGGGCACAGAGGTTTCCTTCCCCTCCCACTCTGCCCTCACCAAGCTCTTTCTGAAATCAAAGGCCACCGATATGCACAATTCACACTAAAATCCAAACACGACACCAAAGGCAAACAATTAACTGTGATCCCACTGTTGTCCCCAAAATATATCTTGAGATCTCTCATTCAGAGACAAGCTATATTCTTCAGAAATCAAAACACAGAGGGGTTGTGTGACTCTTGCTTTTTATATAATGAGAAACATTTTCCTACTTTTTTTGTATTACAATAAATGAACAAAAAAGCTGCAGCACTCACTCCTCTCCCCCCAAACGTTTCCTTCTTGGCATTTAACAATTTATATGCATATCTGGATGACAGTTAACCTCCAATGGCAAAGAAAAGAAAAATGTATAAGAAAAATCACAACTGTTCTCAGACATTTCTTGTTTATAAACATAAAAAGACACGCACACACACAACATAACAAAACAAGGAAAAACCCAACACCAATCTATTAAAAAGTCATTTGAAAGCACATGGAGGTGACCTAGAAGTCAAGACACTGAGAAAGTTAGGGAGTTCAAAGTCGTAACATCAATCAAATTGGATCTACATTTCTTCTGAGCATCAGAGTTATAGGGACTTGAATATATATACATTTAATTTGGGTTATTAAGTAAGTGGTTGAAGAACTTGCTCCTTTTTGACTAAGTACACTGACAGGGTCTCAGATTTTCAGTTGCTTAATTACTAACATTATTAAAAATATCAGAATACAGACCACTCCCAACAGTAGAGAACTCATCTCCCACCTAATAAACAAAAAAGCTAGTAGCCATTTTCCCTTTTGTACTTACAAATATCCAAAGAATGACATAACCACTCAAGTAACAAAGACCCAGGGGTGTTTCAGACATGTGGAAGGAAAATGCTCAGAAGCAGAATTCCTCAACCACATGCCGTGGTGCGGAAGCGGAGAGCTGCTGGCGCGTTAATCCTGTTAAAATCCGTGTACATGATGTCTATGAGAAAGACCCCATCAAGCTGCAACCAATGGTACTATTTTCTCTCTTAATCACAGTAACTGTTATTTGCACAAATACACCAAACTCTAAAGCCAAGACTTTTCTTGAAAGAAAATCATTAGAAGTATAAGAATCGAATTTAACCATCAGGCCCAAGTTAACCAATGAAATAAAAACTTCTCAATAAAAAATTTCTCTGGTGCCTCCAGCTCAAACATCTCCTTCTAGTTCTATAGCTATTGCTCTGGAATGGCTGTCTTTATTCTAAACCCTTCCAGTGAGCTTACTGTTTCCTGGCTTACTTGTGCCCCCCATTTAAACGGTTCCAATAGTTGTTTCTGTTTAAGAGGACTCAATGCCACACTGTGGTCTTGTCTTCAGTGAAGAGCAGACCTAGTGTACTGACCTCTAAGAGAGAGGCCGACAATGGGCCACAGAAATCATGTTCTAGCACTTCCTCAGGTTTGCACTGCGTCTAGTGCCCCCCTGCTGGATGGGTGGAATCTGCTCGCTGCGGTGAGCATTCTGTCGGGCTCCCTCTTCTAGAGTGCTTTGACTAGGAACAGTTGGGGAGGAAATAAACTAGGAGGGAAGAGGAAAAGATCCCAATGGGCAGGGCCATACTTCTAGTGGGGGGGTGGGGAGGCTGGGATCACAGGATGGGGACTGGGATCACAGGATGGGGACAGATTTCCAGGCAGGGTTTGGAACATCAAAGGAAGAACATCTATATCCATGGACAGGTGTAGTAACCAAGACTGAACTTCATGACCTAAAATGCTGCTATGAAATATGGTTGCTTCTTAATGAGTCTTACCTTACCATACAAGCCAGGGAAGAAGACATGGGAAGAAGAGAATGAGCTGGGAGAAACCTCTAGTTAGTCTTAAGCATGAACTTACACTATCTGTTTCCATATTCTTATATTTTATTGGACTTTTTCTGGGTTATTTTTCTGCTCACTCCACTTTCAGGAATATACTGATTTTCCTTGTTACTAAGGAGGTGCTACTTCAAAGGACCACCCAATGTTGAACAGAAAAAAAAAAGATAAAATTGATGGGTGGCCTTTAAAGATGATTTTTTTCCCTATTTTAGAATGAAATGGAGTTAAGGAAATCTTTAGTTAGGTGTCCATCCAAAATAAGTTATTGCAATGATTCACTGTAAGACATTTCAGCAAGCCCACTGGAGACATTAGTGGGTAAGACTAAAAATCTAAGACTCCTGTTTTGAAATTTAAGCTGTCTGTGAAGTCTTCCAAACGGGAAACAGGAAACTCTGGCCACTGAGTTCCCTGTGGGTTCTAGTCAGTCCTGAACCTAACCCAAATCTCAAGAGGTAGGGACAGGGGTAGGCCTGAGCGACAAGCAAGAACAAGCCTCTGCTGTGTCTTCTAGTGCTGGGCCAAATTATCTGTGGAAGGTCTTGCAATTCTTAGGGTAAGTAATAGCTGTCTGGGTGCTATGGCTGCCATACTTAAGAACCTAGGAACAGTGACTCATACACTGAATTCAGGTGCTTTACAAGTATGAGGGAGCACAAGGGTGTATGTGTCCACATGTAGCCCCAGCTGATAAGCGGGAGCCATAGTAGCCAGGCTGGTGGAAATAAACACCAGGCAGTCTCCAATTAGCATGGTGGGCCTCAAACTTGAGCATGTTTCAGAATCACCCAGTTTCTTACTCCATGTGTCTGGGACAGGGTCCACGCTCTGCGTTTCTAACACATTTTCTGACAGTGATGCTGGTGCAGCACTGGATGCTGAGAACCACTAGCCTGCTCCTTCGATGCTGCCCTCTTCAGCCACGGAGCAGGAGGGTAAACTGAACCCCCAGAAGTGAACTGCAGCCCTGTGGCACTGTCTTGATTGCCCCTTCCATGATCTGCACAGCACGTGCCCCAGAGACACACACTGGTGTCTTCATGCACTTCTTCAGCAATGGTGTCGTCCCTGACAAAGGGAATGGATGTTTAGCATTAAAATAAATTTCTATTAAAATAATTTTACACAGTTTGACGAGAAGGCAGCACTGTTGTTAGAACAAGCACGGAGGCTCCTGAAGTGACTGCTCTGAAAACTAACCCTAGCACAGACATACATTTTTCTACTTAAAAAAGTCATTCGAATTCCTTTGAAATCACAGCATCTATACACACTTCTCATTTTTCGCAGCCTGGCCACTACATCCCTCAACCGCAGCACTGCAGTCCTCGTCAGTCAGTGGCTCTTTCGTACTTCTTCCTTTTCTTGGTTGGGCTGCCCTGGGTTGTAGCTAATCTTTCAGTGTTTGTGGCTGAGCCAGTCTGCTCTGCCTTCCCTGGCTTAGTTTTCATAAGATGTCTGGAGGAGAGATTTTCCAAAACATGCAACTCTTCATTAGACGTGGTTTTTGCCAAATCTTGTTTCAAAAGTAACCCCGGATCTGACAGCTCCAAAGTTGGCAGAACCCTGACAGCTTTGCTTTTTTCCACTCTTATTTCTCTGGGGACGAATCGATCACTTCCAAGAGAAACTCTCCTGTGGTGGTCGGAGCCCTGCGCAGAGCCGCGGTTCCTGCGTCTCTGCTGTGTTCTGGCCCCTCGTGGACTTTGTTTTGGACCTGGTGATGCTGACTCACAGCTCCAGACAGGGCTCCCGCTTAGAGGCCCTGTCTCTAACCACTCCCCAGGATGAGGTTTTTGCTGGCTGCTGGTGTCTTCTGGCTGCGCCTGATGAACATTTTCCAGCTTTTGAACAGAAAGCCCCCGATGGCTCTCAGCTGCCTGTATGTAATCTTTTGCTTGCCCCGGGGACTCCGAAGGGGCACTGGATGAAGCCTGACGGTCACTGTTTTTCACTGCCAACTCTGCAATCACTGAGTCACTCGATGTTCCCACAATGTCCCTACTGCTCTTCGATTTGCTCATGATGCTGCTTTTTGTTTCAGCTCTTTTCATACTAAAAGAAAAAAAGATTTTTTTTTTTTTGTAATGCTGTAATAGCATGGTTTCCTCCAAATTCCCCTTACCACATTTCCTACACCTGAAAAAGGAAGGCGTGCACTACCCCCCTTCTCCCCATCTCCCTGGCAACTAGAAAAATCCCCAAGTGCATGTTTAACTGCAAACTGGACCAAGCAATAGCCTCCACCTTTTCCCATACACTGGGGTACACCAGGAAGCACTTTATTTACTGATCATTGGGTTGTTAATGGAACTCATGTTTTAATGAAGGCAAACAGGTATTCATTTCAGCTGTTAAGGGTCAATTTGGTATATTGATTTTTCTCCCCAGAAGAAAATGCTCAAATACATCCAAAGCAGAGGTTGTGTTTATGTGTGTCTCTGTGTATGTGTACAAGAACATGCTTATACATGCACACACACACGTACACACGATTTCTATTTATACGTAAAGAATAATCTTCTGGAATTTCTCACAGGTCATTTCAAGGTATTACTCAAATATAAGTACCATTTAGCTGGTGTCAGGCTTGTTCATTAACCACTGGAAACAGGATTCAATTAATACACCTTGAAACATCCTGGAAGAAATTCCAGGGAGTATGCAAGCACAGAAAACAGAAACAAGGCAGACATAAGTGTGTGTACACACACACAAACCCCTTTCTACAGCACACACAGCAGACAATGCAAACTTCACTGGTTGAAAGTTACTTTGAAGAGGAGGATAAAAGCTTCATGGGAAGAATTTAGAAACTATAGGCTTTGACTGCAACATATATTTGCAGGCTTGTGAATGGCCAGAAATTTCTTAAACCACCAAACTCAAAACATTGGAGCTGAAATATTTGTTTTGGCTAAGCTGTAGTCTGGAAAGAAATAATATAGATTCATGTTCGGTCTGTTGCTTTCTGGGGCATGAGGATTATGATAATTATGTTAGGGTCGGAACGAGCATCTTAGAGAAGGAATGTATTTTTTTAGATCTGTCTGCAGACACTCTGACAACTGTATGAAACACACCACCAACAGGTGCTTTTCATCTTCAAAGCGCTTGTAATTAATTATTCCTTGCAACACACCTGTGAAGCAAGGACTTGATTCCTGTTGTCCAGAGAGCAAGAGAAAGAGCGTCAGGAAGGTGGAAGAGCAGGTATGTGACTTAAGGTGAGCTCAGTGCCAGGGGCTGTGATTAAGTTCCATGTGCTCTTGTTGAATTCTAGGTTTCATGTTATGTATCCACATGTATAGACAGTCAAAACGAGAAAATGAAACACGTTGGACCTACATTTCTTTCAGAGTGTTTCTCTTGAGCTTTGCACTGGGAGGAAGTGGACTCACTGCACACTCAGCAAAATAATCAGATGCTCCGCGAAGAGCTCTTTCCGTCTATTCCAAAAGATAACAAAGGTTCAAACACAAATCTATTAGCTGAATGTGAGAAAAAACAGTCATACTCTGAATGTCCCAGTGAACAGATTTATTGTTGTGAGGACTAGATGAAGCTGCTTAGTGTTAGGCTATTTTAATTTTTTCATATCTTGAACTTTTTGGTAAGTTGTCATTTCTTTTGGGCTCTCAGCCCACACACTTCATACATTAACATGCACCACAAACATACAAGACCGTGATAGGAAGGATGTTGGTTCTAAACCCTCTGGGAACTCTTGGCCAATATGCGATATCTCTGAGCCCTGAATTGTGGTAAAGCGTCGAACCACAATGCGAGCCAGCACCACATTTGTGAGCTTTGATGTGCCTGAGAACCCAGGTAGTGCAGTGGTCTGTACTCTGATTATCCCAAGAATTCTCCACATTTCCTCCTGTTACGAAAATACAGAATATGGCCTTTGCGATACTCAAGAATGCATAGCAAGTTAAGCCTTCTAATACTGATACTTTAAAAATTGGAGTTTGAGAATCTTGGCTACTAAAAAACTGGGAGTGGTTTTTTGTTATTGTTAAATGAACAGCATTACCATGGTTTTATATAATTCATAGTTTATCTGTCTACCTATCCATATATGTTCCCATGGAAACATCATTAGGAAGCAATTATAAAATGTAAAAACCTCCCAACCTTCACCAATGTTGACTCATTTCATACTTTGGAATTGTTTCCTTTTTGTTAGCAAATAGATAATCCAGACAAAGCGTTAACCTCTCTCATTTCCTGGGACGCCAAGTACCCTTCTCCATCAAATTCTGTAGTAAAATGTTGCTGCCACAGGAACAGCTTTGGTAAATTATCACGAGGTCCTTGCTTTAGACTTACATTGGAATTAATGACAGCCCTGGGGAGCCTGGGAGAGCCATCAGCCTAATGCCTGGGTGTCCCACATCCCATCACGGCCCTGCCTATGGTCTCAGACCTGGACCAACATCACCCAAAGTCATATCCAGTTACAACCTAACGTCAGTTTTAAGAGTTAGTGAACAAATTATTACAGGTTTTATTAGATTTTACTGCATTTTGATGCTTCTTCCCCCCCCCCCCGGACTTACTAGTTGACCAAAAAGAGCTTCAGTTTGAAAGTTAATCAGAGAGACTGAGAGAGATTGAGATTTATGTGCGAAACACTTCTAAACATGCCCTGTAAGTAAAGTAGATTTTCCCCTCAGCCACACCCTGTAAGTGCTGTATTTTCAGAGCTGAACAATTAACATAAGGAGCATGAGTCAGGCTTTGAACAACTCTGTGGGAACCAGAAAGCCTTTTGCTATTAGGAATGATGTAAATTCCCCAAGGCTGGAAGAAGTCCACAATGGAAGGCAGACAGGGTCATAAATAACAACAATGGATACTGTGGGGAGCACAGAAAGTGGGATGCCGTGATCAGGACACTTCCAATCTCATGCTGGATTCAATCATGGCCCTCATTTATTTAGTGTAAAACTTAGTTTAAAGAGCACTGTGTATTTCCTATGGGAACTTCAAAAACTTCTTTAGGAAACAGGACGATCCACTCTCATCCCAAATTCATCTGACAACGAACAATGGGGGAAAATGTCCTTGAAAGAAAAAGGACAACAGAAAAAGTGACGGAGTGACAGAAGGAAATGTCCAGTTCAAAAAGTACAAAACCTGTGACTTCGTTTTCAAAAAAAAGAGAAGCGAGAAAGAAGAAAGAAAAAAGCAAGGCGGGGTCTTCTGCTCACAAATTAAAACCACATTTGGCAATTTGTTGAAGGAGGCATATTTACATTTGTATGAAGACTGGGTGGGCAGGGAAAAAAGATTAGACTTTATTCAGCCCTTGAACTGTCAGATCTCATTAGAAAGTTCTCTCTCTTACATGTCTAGGGTCAATTCATTCCCCTTTGTCGCTAAATCACAGCCTCTGGTGCCCCCAAACAAGTACTCCAGAGGAAGCAGCTACCACCTGGGAACAGGGTTTCCCAAGGGAGTCATCCGGATTACTAATGGCCTCTCACATCTGGCATCAAAATGCAATCTGTGGCTTATCCCGAGGCAAAACAATCAGGTGTAGATACTGTGTGCGGGGTTTCAAGTGCCTCCCAGGCATATCTGGATGACACTACTCCTTTTTAAATTCTGCCCTGATATCTTCTGCAAAGAATACAGAAAAACCCAACATAATTAAAAAGGATACCAGTTGGCCATCCAAAGTCCAGAAATGAGCAACCCACGGGAATTTAAGAAGCAGGTTAACCAAGATGACCTCTTTGGGCTGCATAAATAAGTCTTTACAACCTGCAAGCTGATCCGAGTGTGTCAAGGAATAAAATTCTGCAAATATAATTTCCTGGCCACCTGTCCGTCGTCGTCCCCCCCTCCCCCCGCCCAACTTATTTATTTCTATTTTTGGTAATACTTTGAGGATTTTAGTTTTAAAACTTTACACCTGTAAAAAATGCCTAGATATAGTTCCAGGACAAAACAGAATAGAGCCCGGCTGTTGTGCTGTTGTGCTCAGCGGTTGAGCATCAACCCATGAACCAGATCATGGTTTGATTCCCAGTCAGGGCACATGCCTGGGTTTCGGGCTCGATCCCCGATAGGGTGCAGGAGGCAGCCAATTGATGATTCTCTCTCATCATTGATGTTTCTATCTATTTCTCCCTCTCCCTTCCTCTCTCTGAAATCAATAAGAATATATTTAAAAAAAAAAAGGGCAGAGCAGAAGCAGGGCAAGGCTACCAGTCCCAGAAGGAATCTAATGTAGGCAGATATCCTCCTTCACAGCTTGAGCAGACCAGACAGACTTCCAGAGACAAGGTGTGAGGCCTTATCCCCCTGCCTGGGGATGTTCTGGAGACCAGGGAGGCACCCTGAGGTAGAGGACAACCAAAGCACATGTGCCCCAGGTACAGGTCCAAGGGGGAGGCTGGGTAGGTTAGAGTCTGAGTATGACGCTGGTTGGTCTGACCTGGGGAACACATTAACAATTTCTGGACAGAAGGGACTGCAAAGAGAGACCCCATTCAAATGAGGTGGGCAACTCTCACTTCCTGCCTCTCTCTAGTCAGAGAATAAGCTAGACTGAAATGTAGTTATAAATACTGGATGATATTCAAGTTACAAAGGCAAGTTAAACTGGATAAATCCAGGCATTCACTCCACAGTGACTTACTAAAGACTATTTTTGAACAGAACGCTGTTGGATTGTGGGATGGGAGAGAAGCTGGCCTAAAAAGACATAAAAAAAGCACCTGCTCTTGAGTTTATTATGTCCTTGAGGAGTCTGTAAAACACAGCTAGGCCTCCCAAAGGCTAGTGAGAAGGCTGGCTATCAGAGACTCATATAAGAGGCACTGAGGGAGGTTTTCAAAAATATAGATTCCTGGACCCATCCCTGGAAGTTCTGATTCACAAAATCTGGGGTGGGGCTAGGAGATCTATATGTAGGTTCCCAGGTAATTCAAGAACTGCAGATACATATGAAGCAACACTTAACAGAGCAGAGAAACATAAACAAATGTAAACTGGTACAAAGGCAGCATTTGCAAAGTGTGGTCTGGTTACCTCAGGCATCAAAATCAACTGGGGCTTGTTGAAAAATGCTCTGGGTTCTCCCCCAGAATCTACTGTGTTTGCATCTCTAGGGGTGGGGTCAGGGAATGTGGATGTTAGTCAAGTGCCCCAGTGATTCTGATACCCAGAAGAGCCAAACTTCTGTCCTAAAGGGGCAAGGAACGGATAACTGAGCAGAATCTAGGGGAATCACTGAATCTGTACCAGGCACTCTTTGAGGATCTTGTGGAAAGGACAAGGACCCACACAAACTGTCCTTGCCCTCATGAGGACTCCATTCCAATGGGGAAGACAAGAAATACACAAGCATGTGTTAGGTGATGATGATGTCAGGGAGAACAAACCTCTGAAAGGTCACGGGATGCCGTTCTAGAGGTGGTGGTCAGGAAGGGCTGTGGCAGGTAACAGGGTGAGCTTTACCCAGAGACCTGAGTAGGGGGAACAAGCCACGTAAACACATGGGGAAAAGCATTGCAGGAAGGGAGAGGCATGAACACTGAGGCTGTGAGGACAGAGGGAACCTGGAAATGGGGAAAACAGGAAAGCAAATCAGAGGAAGGGGTCACTGAGCAGGTAAGAGGGTACAACTGTGTGTGTGCATGCACACATGCACAATGGTAGTGGTGGGGCGGCAAATCATGTATAGCTTTTTTAAAAGATAGCACATTTTATTATGAGGAAGTTTCCAAGAAGAAAAGGGACTTAATATTTAAAAGGATTATCTTGGCTAAGAAAACAATCTCATTTACAACTGTCTTGAAAAACACACACAAAAACAACCACCTAGCAATAAATTTAACCAAGGATGTAAAAGACTTCTACTGGGAAAATTGTAAGACACTGAAGAAAGAAACTGAAGAAGATACAAATAAGTGGAAGCATATATACCATGTTCATGGACATGAAGAATTAATATCATTAAAATGTGCATACTACTCAAAGCAATCTACAGAGTCAACACAATTCCTATTAAAACACCACGAGCATATTTCACAGAACTAGAACATATATTCCAAAAAGTTATATTGAACCACAAAAGACCCCAAACAGTAACAGTGATGTTGAGAAATAAGAACAAAGTTGGAGAAATCACACTATCTAATAACAAACTATACAAGGCCATAATAATCAAAACAGCATGATACTGGCATTAAAAACAAGGATATAGATCAATGGAACAAAACAGAGAGCCCAGAAATAAACCCACGCCTTTATGGTCAATTAATATCTGACAAAGGAGGCACAAGCATACAACAGGGTAAAGACAGTCTATTCAATAAATGGTGTTGGGAAAATTGGACAGATATCTATAAAAAAATAAAACTAGACCACCTTCATACACCATACACAAAAATAAACTCAAAATGGGTTAAAACTTAAATATTAGTCTCAA